TTTTAAATGAGCACAAAACAAAAGTTTGAGACTCAAGAGGATAAAACTGGTAGGACCACCATTTTTTTAGTGGTTGGGGTGGGGGTCATTGCCCCTCCTGGCCACCCCTGCTTGTGGCRCCCCTGGTGACTGATGTGTTCSACAGAGGAACGACAGTTTGAGCCGCAGCACCGCACATCTCTGTGTTAGATGTCAGAAACAGAGATTTACTTTATGTGGCTCTAGTAGAAACAAAACATTTCTAATTTATGATGGTTGAGTTATTAATAAGCGCCACAGAGAAAATAAATAAGCCCATTGTTCACCRTTCTGTCCTATTTTTAAAGCTGTGTGGAACGTCTACCTTTATCTGCAGCAGCAGAGCAGTTAGGCGGGAGATGAGCTGCGTGAGGCTGGGATTCGTCACGTTCGGCTGTCCGTCCCTCTGGTAGTTGCCCTGCTCCACCATCTGCTGAGCGTCCTCTTCACAACGCCGCCGCAGCTCCGTGGGACAGTCGGCTGGAACCATGCCCTGATCTGGAGCCAACTGGAGAGAAGAGAGCTTCGTCAAACATCGCCATTAAAACAAAACAAAAAAAAACTTATTTAAAATGTGTCAGTGAGGGGTACACAAGTGTACAGCTCCACTCACTTCACAGCAAAACTGCTGAACTTCATGAAGCACTTTGTTCAGATCTTTATTGAGCTGCTCCAGCTCCAGCACCGTGGTAGCGTATCGCTTCTGAAAGTCCAGGTCAATCGGCAACGAGTACGACTTCTGAATGCAGGAAACACACGTGGAGTTAGGTCAGGTGTGGGTAAATACCTCTCAGATGAGCTGGAGTGACTTGAAAGTGGATTTTTACCAGTTTCTCAGCTTCTGTGTTCATTTCTTTTAAGTGCTTGATGTGTTCTTTTTTGATCATGAGGATTTTGGACAACCTCGTCTACAAACAGGGAAGGTGTGGGGAGAGAGAAAGTTATTGGAAAAAATTCTTAAAAAGAAGGATGTAATCCATTTGACAGGAAATACTTACAACTTGGACCAAGAATTTAACAGGAAATCCTCCCAGTGTATCTCCCTCAGCGCTGGGCAGTTTGTTCTTCCATGGTGAAGAGTTCAGAAGAGGATCGTTGTCCTGTTTATATATAAAATAATAATTGCTAATGATGAAAAACAATTTAATTTTAAAAACTAAAATTCAAACCAATTCAGTCACTTTCTAAAGAAAGGTCTTCATAAATAGTCAGCGTCACACCTGCCAGTGTTCCTACAGTTTAAGGCAAGTTAAAATCAAGACTTTTAAAGACTTTTTAATGCCAAGTGAAATCAAATTTAAGACWAATTTCACAATAAACCCAAATGACAAAAAAATAAAAATAAAAACTGTGGCAGAAACTCATGAATCAAAGTATTTTTGGTTGAAGTCTTCAAATATTGCTAATAGACCAACTGTTTTTATCCATATCCAACTGCTTTTTCTTCAAAAAGCAAAAATCTTCTTAGCAGTCAGTTTTAAACTTAATTTAATTTCAGGAAATCCTCTAATGACCTAAAATTTGGAGTTTTATGACCCACAGTGGGGTCTTAACCCCAATTCTCTGTAGATAAAACCTTAAAGTGCATGTGACATAATTTTTTTTGTAAGAAATATGAATGCATATTTGGAAAGACAACATTATCAACATATTAAAAAACTAATTTCACATTGCTGAGATGAACTCTTGAGATATTTGCATGTGAAATAATTTGCATGTGAAATAACAGGAAGTGATGACAAAGGATAATGTCTGCATGTGAATATTTAAAAAATAAATGTTACCAATTATTTTTTGTATTTGAGACATCATCCTATTTATAATGTGTTAACATTTTGAGACTTCTGAAAGACTGATTTAAGACATTTTAAGGCTAATTAAGGACTCATTTTTGGATTGATGAATTCAATGCCTTTTAAGGATCTGCAGGAACCCTGCCTGCAGGATGATCAGTTTGATCAATAAGTTTTTTTTTTACTGCTGAGAAAGGTTAACCCATTCATATAACAAACAACAGAATCACAAATATTTAACATCTAAAGCAACATAGAAACTTAAAAAAACTTTTACAGCAACAGAAGCATAATGCTGACCATGACAGGTAAGACACTGACTACTCATAAGTAAAACTGGTTGAGATGTTACATCTCCTATACAGTACCATGTGAACAGGGGTGGTAACAGACGTGTAGGTTCCTCTGGGCGGAGTCATGAGGTTCTGCATGTACCGTGTCGACCGATGCTTCTGTGCGAAGGCTGAGATAGGCATGGTCTCATTGGGTTCGTTGCTCTGAAACACACAGCATTTTTTTTWAAGAAATTTAAATAATGCTCTGAATCATTTTTCATTACTGTCATTAAGTTTTGGACTTGCCAAAGCAGGAAATTGCTTACCAAGACTTCATAATCAGGCACAGTGTGAGTCCCCAGGCCACTGCGGTCAAACGTCACGCGATACGTCGCGGCGCTGGTGTCGACGGCGTCGATCTGACCCGTGAAGAGCCCGTCGTGGACGCCTCGGAGACGAGCTGTCCAACACAAAGAATTTCATTTCTCTAAATTTCATTCAGCCGTGTTCCATTTTAGAAATAGGTGGTTTTTTTTCTGTTTTACACAACGACCCAGCTTCATTAGAAATGTAATTGTATTTTCCTCATATCTCTTCAAACCTGTGAGGAAAAGTATTTCTCCAGATATGAACACGATTTCTTTTTTATGACTCCTGTGGGACATCAGCCACACTACAGCTATAATATAATCTTTCAACAACAAAAAATATTACTAGCTTGCTGATTGTTTTTGTTGTGTAAATAGAAAAAAAGTCTTTGTTTTGAGTTTGTTGATGTGTGCTCATCTCACCGGTAACTTTTGTTCCTATGATGAGCGGTAAAGGGATTTCATCAGGAAGGTCTTTGCAGTTCGACAAGTCCGACAGTTTTCTCTGCTGCAAAAGGCGCATTTTCTGACGCTTGTGTTTCAGCGCTGTTCTCTCTTCGGTAAAGAACGCCGGGGAACACCTGGGTGTGTCGACAGAGCACAGCGCCGTCACAGCAAATATCTTAAGATCTCRAGTTTCAAATGAAACATGAGTGAAACCCAAAAAGAAAAACAGGAAAAAGAAAAACAAAAAACGAGTTGAGAGATGGCAGCGTACCGTCGAGGCTTCCCCATCAGTCTCCTGATTGTTCCCCACTCGACTCGGGTTAGTTTCCTCGTTTTCAGGTTGGGAAAAGACTCTTTGAGGCACAAGCAGAATTCATTGTCACCTTCAAAAAGAGGTCTGAAATGAGAAAAGGGAAGAGAAACGAACCAAAATGTTAAGTTTTAACAATAAGTTATGTGGTCAGGTAAATGTAATGACTATACATTATTATAACTATTAAAATCTGTTTAGTTTTAAATTGTTTTATATAAAAAGGTAACAATAAAATACAAGTATCAAATTAGAGTTTATTTTTGCATAAGCTGAGGTGCTTGTTACATTTCTTTTTCTGAGGGTTAAACAGTGAGACTTTACCTGTCAATATTGGAATAAAACCATTCATAGATGCACCATTTGTGAGCTTTGGGTAGTTTAAGGAGGTTTCTTAATCTCAGCCCGATTTTCTGTGAAGCTTTCTTATCTGGCGTCATGACATTTGAAAACTTCTGCAAAGACAAGAAATATAAACAATCATCCCACATACAGATACATAATCTCTTCAATGAGCTACTCTCACCGATAGTTTTCTTATATTTCTTATATTTAACAACTTWGTCTTGCAAATTTCTAATAAACACAGATGATAGGGTGAAGTAGCCACTAAAAGATTTTAAGTTAACCAATAGTTGTTCAAAAATTTCACGTATAAAATACACAGAATGGGGCACGATTGTGCAGAATATAAATGTWAGACTACAGAACCGGTTGATCAAGTTTATCACCACTTCCTTGAATACATCTACAACAAAAACAGCTTTTGCTTCATCATAAACACTTTCTGGCACAAAAACAAGCCAAACAAACCATTTAAAATCATTTTTAAATAAAGTTTAACTAATTTTTTATTACAAGAATTAAGATTTTTCAGAAACCCCAGTAGTAGAAAAGCTCATATTATCAGTGTTGTCAACACTTCAGTAAGAAAAACAGCTTTTGGTTGTCCTAAAAG